AGGATTACAGGCCACACTCAGTCTCAATTGCCATCTCAGTGTGCCCTGGGGTGGGGCTGGCAAGCAGGCATGGGGATGAACCCCCTTAATCTGCTGAGCTGTTTGGCCAGTCCTTGCTTCAACCTCCTAAATGCTGGAATTATAGGTGTGTGCCGCCACACCTGGCTTTAAATTTTATATTTAATTAGGCACAGCATTAAAAAAAAATTTTAAAGTGTTCGTTAATTTAGCTGCTGTATATGTGTGTTCTGGGAGCCATGAGAAAGAAGATAAGCAGGCATGCAGGTTTAGTTTAGGCAGTGGTAGACTAAAAATGAAAAAACTCCACATTAAAACAACAGGAGGCAGGGATAAGAAGCCATAAGATCTATAATCTGGTATCTTTAAGTGTCTGTATTAGATGTCAAGGGCAAGGGCACAGATATAAGTGTTGAAGAGGTTCATAAAAGGAGGTGGTTACTATGTAGATTGGACACATATTCTCTTAGTGACAGTGGGTTACCAGTCTAGGGAGGAGTAGACCCTAACTGTAATTGAAACTTTCTATAAGATAGCTGTACCTAAACACACCATAATCTTCATGCCTGTGTGTCTGTAACCCCAGTATTGGGAGGGCGAGGCAGGAAGATCTTGAGTTCAAAGTCATCCTAGGCTACATAGTGAGTTCAAAGTCAGCCTGAGCTATATAGTGAGATGCCATTTCTTTTTCTAAAAAAATTAAACAAATAAAATGATGGAGTTGAGGACATCTAAAAATGTTTCTGGACAGGAATTAATAGTAATTAAAGGTTGAGGTGGTGTGCGCCTGTAATCCCAGCTCTTGGGAGGCTGTAAACAGGCACATCACTATGAGTCCGATCTACTAGTGAGACCCTGAACACCCTGTAGATCCTAAAATACCAAAAAGAAAAAAAAAGGTTGAGGAATACTAGACTAGGATACTTAAGGAAGAGTTTAAATGGCAAGTATGTTGGAGCTAGGCACTGAAGCTGAGGTAGGTAAGTTTTAGGTGAGCAAAGCAGGTTTTCTGGAGAATATTTTTTTTTAGACTCAGAATAGGGTGCTGAGGAGACAGCTCAATGGCATAAACACCTGTCTGATTCTGTGCAAGGTCCCAACTTTAATTCCTGGTACTGCAAAAAACCAAAACAAATAAAATAAAATAGAGTCAGAATGGGTGTATAACATGTTT